GAAATACAAATTTGGGGATTATAAACATAACTACAGATCACATGACCTTTAAGCCAGGACAATAGATAAGCTAACCAAATTATAGCAAGTTTAAAACTCTACCACTTAATTCTCCTTTCTAACATTGAACTTATAATTTTCATTACATGATTTTGGATAATAAGATTTCTTCTGAAGCACAACCTTTGCATTGCTAGTGAACAAACTATAGCAATGTGTGCTCTTCCCAGCAATGTGTAACAATTCTTATTTCTTTGCATTATTGACAGTACTATGTATTATTTTTTTTTAAATCTTTGCTAATTTTATATGTAAAGAATGTGGGAACAATATTTTGATCTGTATTTCTTTGATTATTAAGATTGAACATTTTTCATGTATCTATTGATCATTTTTATATTTTTCTTACTGAATTGTCTATATATCTTCTTGCTATTTCTTCCTTGAAATTTTTTTTTTTTTTTTTTTTTGGTCAGAGTCTCATTCTGTTGCCCAGGCTAGAGTGCAGTGGCATGATCACAGCCACTGCCACAGCCTTGACTTGCTGGGCTCAGGAGATCCTTACGCCTCAGTCTTGTAAGTAGCCTGAACCACACACCATTCTGGGCTAATTTTTTGATTTATTGTAGAGACAAGCTCTCGCCAAGTTGCCCAGTCTCGCACTCTTGAGCTCAGGCAATTCTCTCACCTCGGCCTCCCAAAGTGCTGGTATTACAGTTATGAGCCACTGTGCCCCACCTGAAATTCAATTTTTCTGTTAATTCTCTGTGAAAGTGTTTTGTATAGCAAGGTTGTTGTGCCTATGTATGCAATTTATATTGAAAAAATTTTCCCAGTTTTCATTTTCCTTTTCATTCAAATTTTCTTATTGTTGTTGCTTTTATCTATTTAAATCTTTCATAATTTAATCAATTAGTCTGTTATTTCCTGGTTTGATGTTTTTGCATAAAGTTCTTTAATCAAGTATTATTTAAATATTTACCTATTTTCTACTATATTAAGGATTTCATGAAAAATTTAACACATCTAGGATTCATTTTGGTATTCAGGTGAGATAAAGTTTAACTACATATTTTTTAAGTAGCTAAATGTTATTCTAGTACAGTATGATTCTGTTATGCATGTTTGCTCCTGCTGACAATTTAGGTCATCTAATAACAAAATAGAAAATAGCATACCTAAATAGCTAACCATGCATCTGTTTTTAAGGGGTACTAAAATGTTTATTGATGGCTTGGAAAAGGTATACTCTCTAGGACAAAAATAAAGTCACTTAACTGTTATTCCTCTATGACATAATTGCTATTTCTACCTTCTCACAATAGGGGGATTAACATCCCAGATGCCATTGTAAGAAATCTCTAGTAAGGACCCTTTGTGATCTGAGCATTCTAACATCTTCAGATACGACCCCTTTTGTCCACCAGTTCTCTCTTCTGGTACAAGATAAGAGTATGCACATATTTTTATGACTCTAAATTATTCCTTATGAGTTACTTCTCTGTTGGATGCAAGCTTTGTAAACAACACCACGTATGGTCGCTTCTCCTTATTTATTTCAAGGATGTTATCTTTCTATTAATTTTTTTTAATCTCATGCATTTTTCCTTAGCTTAAAATCTCAGAACGTAAAGTCAGCACTCTTCTGGCAATAGTTTAAATACCCAATCCATAGTTCTACTGTGCCAAAGTAGAACAGCCTGAATAAATGCATTATTTATTAATTTATACTGCATCTGTGTCTGTCTTTCAGATTGAAAATAGTCAAATCTAATACAAGTAATAAAGAAATCCCTATGAAGTGTCTCACAGAGAACAATGGATAAATCAGCGTTTGGCATTTATAAATAAGCATGAAGATAATCCTCACAAAATAAGCATTTCCTTATGTTTTTGTGATCTTGGATGTTGATGGCTTTCAAAGTGATTTTGGCCCATTATTAATCTGATGATATTGTTCCCAATTGAATTTCTTCTTCTATGTCCTCTTAACTCTCACTAGAAATCCTGTTTGTTCACCCACAAATAAACAATTAAGGTTTACGTTCTTTTCTTTTCTCTCTCTCTCTTTTGTCTTTTTGCATCTCTTTTACAGTGGAACCGTATATCGACTAAAATAATATTTGGAAAGGGGAGAAACAGCAAAAAAATATTTCATGAGCTATACCAAAAATATACTGTCATTCTATCTCTAGGTACCTGCTATAAAGGATGAAGTAGAAAAGCAAAAATAAATGTTATATTAGGAGGCAAAATCAAGAGACATTAGAAGTCCATTGTAGCTCATTTTAAAAAATAGTTTAGAGCAGGGATCTTTTCAGGGGACCCATGAATGACTTGTGATGGGGAAAGAAGAAAAAGGGTGAATTTTTAAACACTTTAAAACTCAGAGCAAAATTTTGGCTATATCTGATTGTGTGCCCTTTTTTTGGAGGGGGAGAAGTTCCATATCTTTAATCACATATTGATAGGAATCTGTGACCACAAAACAATGAAGAACCACTAATTGGGATTTATTAGAGTTATAATAGATAGACATGTGTTCTTTTGACTCACATAGGAAATTAAATTTAAAGGCATTTCTTTTTATTTCTTTCTTTTACTCAAATTCTTTTTATGCTGAATTGAATTTTTTCTGAGTTATTTTACTAAAACTTACAGAAATAAACAATTTAGAAAATGTTTTGGGGCTGGGTGAGGTGGCTCATGTCTTTAAATTTCAGCACTTTGAAGAGGTCAAGATGAGAGGAAGACTTGACGTGAGGCGTTCAAGACTAAAGTCAGTTATGATTGTGCTTCTGCACTCCATCCTGGGCAACAGAAAAAAAAGAAAGAAAGGAGAGAGAGAGAGAGAATGTTCTGGGCTACGTGGACTCACAAATCAGCAGAAGGTTGCCATAAGTGATCAACATAGTATTTCTGAAGGGTGGTTAAAAAGACAGAAAATAGCAGCGAGTAGAAGCACCCTTTACCCTTGAGTCCATGCTGGACCTTATCAGCTGGCATTGTCATTCTGGATGCTTAGAAGCCCAACAGATTTGGCATAAAGAAGGTCAGCTGTCAAACATCATGGAGAAACCAGAGAATCCATGCATGATATTCAAATCCTCCACCTAAGTTGGCAAGGGAAAGAGGGCTCACAGCAGAGGGTGAGTCAACGACACTTATGAGTTGAATTCTCAGATGATCCAATGTCTAGTCCACATATCTTCTCTCAACAGCTGCTTTTATCGGCTACTTCAGAGAAATTTGTAAGTCACCTCATGAGTTCTGCCAAATATATGAAACCCTGGCAGAGGCAGTAAAAGGAATCAAGCTCCCCAGTTGGCATTTGGCTTAGAGATTAAGTTTGATGATCATCATATATTTTTTTGTCACATCTTTACTCTTTCCAAAATAAGAGTTACAGACTTATATATAAATCTTTAAAGACATTTTAACTTTTCAAAAAATATATGGGCCATCAGGTAAAGTATTTTACAGGTCCTTCCTGTGGAATTTATTATTTCTAAATTGCTTAATTTCTTTTCGGAAAATATTTTCAGATATTATAGATCCTGAACATCTTTTGTAGATTTATACTCACAACCTTCTTTCTTTGGCTCTCAGATAAACTTTGATAACTCTAGAATTAAAATCTTTTCAATATGACTCATGAGAAATAATGAAATCATAAGACAAATGTAAGTGTTTTAGGCTTTCTCAATACTCGGCAAATATAGAGTATTATGCACAGCCAGATTACCTTTGCAAAGTATTTTATATTTATAGAATGCATATGCTATGGAGAGTTAATGTGTTAGTTAAATTCACTACATTTTTCTTTTCCAACTCTATGTATAAAAACAAAACAAATCAAGGTCTCAATACCTGTGATATGAGAAACAGACTTTAGAATGATCTTTGGTCTCTAATATCTCAGATGAGAGACCTAAAGTAAATCACAAGACTAAATATTATACATAGGATTTGTAGAATTTTAGATGTAATAATGACTTCAGAAAGAACTGCTTTCAGCAAAATTACAGCTAAATAGTAGGAATAAATTCTAGTGTTCTATAGCACTGACTCTAGTTAACAATAATTTTGTATGTTTTTTTAAATAGCTAGAAGATTTTGACATTTCCAAAACAAAGAAATGATAAATGTTTGAGAATATGTTAATTACCCTGATTTGAATCATTTACACATTATATACATGAATCAAAATATCACACTGAACCTTATAAATATGTACAAATCTTATGTCAATTAAAAACTATAACAAAACTAGCTTGAGGTTAAGTGCATATCTGACTAAAATATTTCATGTTGTTTCTATGTGATTCTAAGCCCAAATGACTTCTTCAGCAGTTTAAAAAACCATTCAGTTGTGACTTCTCTTTCAATTTTACAGTAAAGATTCTGCATTCAAACTAACTAGTAATAATGATAGAAAAACACTAGTCTTGTTCATGTGAGGATAAAAAGTGAAAATGATATCCAGAAGCATCATCTTTCTATTATAGAAGAAATCATTTTTATCAAAGAGAACACAAATTGTAGGGGCCTGCATAACAATGTTAAATCCAGTTGTCATGTTAGCTGTATATACGTCTTCAAGCATAAGCAAATGAATTTCTCAATATTTTATCTGAAGTTGCTTTTAGGTTATTACATTTAAGGGAAAAATACTCTTACAAGTAAGGTATTTAAGATTTTTTAAATGGAAATGCAGTAGAAATGTAATTGATTTTTTAAAATAGAGTTTTTTAGGTTATTACATTTGAGGCAAAATACTCTTGCAAGTAAGGTATTAAGATTTCTGAATACAAAAGGAGTAGAAACTTAAAATTTTTTAAAAGTAGAGTGCACAATCGACAAAAAGAAAGATATGAAATTATTTTATTGGTTCAACTGAACTGAACAAAATTGGAAGAGACACAATTCACTTAGTTATAGGATTCCATAATATAAACTTGAGTATAATCATGAATTTAGGATTACAAATTACCTTTTGCAAATTTAAAGATTAGTTCTACAGATTAAATTTGCCGATAGGCTGTCTTGTTAGAATGGAAGTAAATCTGTTTCTTAAAAATTATTATTTTGCTGGATTATGTCATAAGCATAGCTGTGCTCCTGAGGAAGGATAAGTTCCTTCTTGGCTCATCAGAATGAAGCTTTCACTGTTCTGCCCTTCAGGGGCTGAGGTGGTCGGTTGTTGTGCAGTATGGGGACAGCACTATCACCTTCAGCATTCGACAGAAGACTGCGGAACTGTGCCAGCTGGAAGGATGAAATATTTTTAAAAATCAGAGGTCATTAAAGTTACACAAAGCACTTTATTTTCAGTATTTATAACACATTGATATTTAGAAAACTGAGTTGGAGATTGTAGTGGTTTCACCAATGGAAAGAGAGAAAGTCCCAAATCCTTCACATTCATTCCTTTGAACTAGGCATTTTGCTAAAATTCTTGATGATTAACTGGGTTAAAATATCAACTTTTTCAACCTAAGAAAGCTGATTTTAAAAATGTATATACATCTTCAAGCATAAGCAAATGAATTTCTCAATATTTCATCTGAAGCTGCTTTTAGGTTATTACATTTAAGGCAAAAATACTCTTACAAGTAAGGTATTTAAGCAACTTTGTCACTCCAACTGGGGTACCTTGGATGAGTGACTTATAAGCTTGGTGCCTCAGTCTCTACATAGTACCTACTTCATTGTGTTGTGAAGATTAAATGAGTTAATATTTGCAAAGTACTTAAAATGCTGCTTGGCGCATATCATGTGCTCAGTAAATGTCAGTTAACAATAGGCTAAAAAGCTTGTCTCGTGGGTTTTTATAAAAATTGTCACACAAAGCATATGCAAGTCACCTAATAAAAATAGTTGCTCAGTTGATGACAATTATTGTCATCATTATTAAAAATAATAATTTTTTTGAGTTGAAGTCTCATTCTGTTGCCCAGTCTGGAGTGCATTGGCATGCTCATACCTCATTGCAACTTTGACCTCCTGGGTTCAGGCAATCTTTTTGCCTCAGCCTCCCAAGTAGCTGGGACAACAGGCATGCACCACCATGCCCAGTGAATATTTTGACTTTTTGTAGAGATAAGGTCTTATTTTGCTGCCCAGGTTGGTCTTGAACTCCTGGTCTCGAGTAATCTTCCCACTTCAGCCTCCCAAAGTGCTGGAATTACAGGTATGAGCCAGCATGCCCAGCCAGTCACAATTTTCCTTTGTTTCTGAAACCCTTAAAAAGCTATTTAACAAGGTTGGGCTTGTCTTCACGAAGAGAAAAGAATAGTGGGAGTTTTGAAACTAAAATTGTTTTTCAGCATAAAGTAAAAAAGTATCACAATGCACTTTTTATTTTTTGATAATTCAATAGGCCCATGCCAGCAATTAATCGTTTTCAGTTGGAAGGGAAAATAAACTCATAAACCTAATGGAATAATAATCTCCCCAACTGATACTATCAATTGAAGTGATATTCTTGCATTGCATTCCCATTTCCCACTCTTCACCTTTGATACTCTACCTGTTCTGAGCTGACACTGATGTTCTCCTTACAGATGAACCAGGTTACACTCTCATAAAGAGGAGGATGAGTCAGAGAGCCAAAGTAGGTCCAGTAATCCAGGGATGAAGGAAGGAGAATAGAGGGCTCAAAATTTGTGAATGGGGCTCGTTTGCCCTGGAAGAAAAAGAAAAGCATATAACATTATACCATGGTATCAAATATGTATATCAATGTATATGATATATTATTCTATATCATCTCATCGCATATTATCTAGAGATTTTAGCTAATAATTTAATTGATTTTTCTACTATTTAGTATTTCATGACTGATGTATTTGTGAATATGAACAAAAACAATAAAAGAGAAAAGATGAAAAATGTGCTACATATAAGTTTTAACCAAGATATCTTTTGCATTTTTCATTTGGTTGAGATAAGCAAAGGCTCAAAAAATTATGTAGAATCTGTATTTTTAAAAGGTATTCATGTTGGGTGTAGTGACTCAAGCCTGTAATCCCAGCACTTTGGGAGGCAGAGGTGAGAGGATTGCCTGAGCTCAGAGATTCAAGACCAGGCTGAGCAACATGGTGAGACCTCATCTCTACAATAAATCAAAAAATTAGCCTGGTGTGGTGGCACATACCTGTGGTTCCAGTTCCTTGGAAGGTTGAGACAGAAGAATCACCTGAGCACAGCAGGTGGAGGCTGTGGTGGCCATGTGTGCCACTGTATTCCAGCCTGGGCAACAGGGTGAGACTCCGACTCAAAAAAAATTTTTTTTCTTAAATTTCTAGAATAAAGCATTTATTCTTTCTCTAGGAATGATATCAGATTCTATTCTACTAGCAAAGATATTTATTGACATGCATATTAGTTATCTTTTAGTTTTATTCTATGTATTCCCTTTATTTTTTCTAATTAATTATTATTGGTGTATAGAAAGTGTACTGACATTTGCATGCTAATCTTTTATGCAATCAACTTTGTCAGACTTTTATATTGATTCTGTCTTTTAGTGGATTATTTTGTAGTTTTCAGGCAGGTATTAATGAAGATATTATCTCCGCAAAGTGTAGTTTTGTTTTTTCAATATCTTTCCTATTATGTACTCTTTTTTTTCATTATTTTATTGCATTGATTAGGATGTTTACTATAATTTTAAATTTTGATCATCATACCGACACCTTGGACTTATTTCTGACTGAAATAAAAATACTACAAATACTTTACCGTTTAGTCTGGACGTCTTATCCAAGTTTCTAGATGAAGTTCTTTATAAAATTCAAGATGTTGTTAGAGTTTTCTTGTCTTTCATTTTGTTTTATCCTCAGGAATAGCATATGATTCTATCAAATGACTTTAAAGCATCTAACAAGCTTATGATGAGGTTTTTCATCTTTAATTTATAAATATAATAAATTATATTAAGAGATATTCTAATATCGAACCATCCTTGCATCTCTAGAATAAACTTTACTACCTCAGAAGCAATACTCTTTTAATACACGTTTGAATTCGATTTGCTGTAGTAAATTTTAAAATTTCTTTTAGCTATATTCCTAAGAAAGATTGGCTTACATTTTTTGCAGTTTTCTTACCTAGCTTTAGTATTGAGTTTCATTAAACTGATGGTAAGTTTTCTGCCTATCCCCCTCATCTAGGCACTTAGCACTGGCATGATTGTTTTTTTAAAGTTGAGTAACATATTTTCATAAAATAACCTGGGCCTAACCTTTTATTTTAGTTGATATGTTTTGACTCTCTTCTCAATTTATTTTAGGCTCTCAGTCTATATAGGTTTTCTATTTTTGAGTCAATTCTGTTCACATTTTCTTTAAAAAATCCATTTTATCAAATTTCATATTTACCGATATATTATAGTTTTATCTTTAAAACTTTCTTCTGTCTCTTTAGTTATATCCCATCCTTTATTTCTAATTATATTTTGCATATATGCCTTTTTTCCTTTCTCAAATTTGTGAAAAATCTACCTTTTTTGTTGGTTCTTCCAAAGAATCAACTTTGCATTTTATTGATAAAGTTTTGCCTTGAACTTATTCATCATTTTCTTTCTTATTTTATTTTCTGCTTTTATCTTCACTAATTAATTTTCCTCTATTTTCTTTTTATATACTGTCCATTTTTATATTATTGAATTGAATGCTTATTTTTATCTTCTGTCAATCTCACTTTACAATACACCCATTTAAAATTTAATCTTTTCTATAATTAACACAAATCAGATTAATTTGATAGTCCTCCACACTGAAACAAATGACAGACCTCTAACATATTACTTAACTATTTACCGCTAAAAAAGCAGGATATATCAGATATATCAGAAAATTCATCTCTTTTGAGTTGGCAAATGGGAATAACAGTTATCAAATATTATATTAATGGTATCTCAAAAGACTATCCTTAACTCCTGTATTTTTATACTTCTAAAACAATGGATACCATCGTGAATGGAAAATAATTCACAAATCAATTACATACAGTTTTTAAAACAAATTTGAATGGCTATGTAACCTGTTTTTCCATAAGCCATATCCTGTTTAAATCAATAAACAATAATTATGAAAAATAAAAACCAGAACAATTCCCTGCATCAGAGACTTTCTCAGAAGTAGACAATTTCTGAGACGTATCTGGATTTTCAGATTAGTAAGTTTCGCCTTCCTACTCTTACGTGAAATATGAGGGAGACCCAAGAAAACTGAAATTGTCTTTTGAAGGGCAGACCACTTGTAGTACAGGCTTCTCCCACTAGGGTAAGTGTTCTAGGAACTCATGGGCATCAGTATACCAGCTAAGGATATTGTGAGAGGCTGAGTTTGGCTTCAGGGAATTTTTTTGTTTTGTTTTTTGAGAATCTTTCAGTGAGTTTTGCCCATTTCATAATGGATGATTCACAAGCACATCTGCCCACACTATGTTGTGTTCAGCGGTTTTTGACCAAAAATGGCATGATCCCTATGCCCTTATTCATCCCTCTCCTTATTCAACCGTTTCTCGTTTCCCTGGATGAAAAAAGTCCTCAGAGGGAAACATTTTGCTGATGTGGAAGAGATGAAACAAAAGACAATAGAAGCACTAAAAGGTATCAAAATTGATGAGTTAAAAAACTGTTTTGAGCAGTGGAAAAAGTGTCTCAATAGGTATAGTGCATCAAACGGAGAGTATTTGAAGGTAAGAACAAATATACATTTTTTTATAAATAAATTCTGAATTTTGGGTCTCCCCTCATATAAAATTAAATTATTTTCATAGTTCTATGAATTTTTGTTCTCCAACTTAAACTAACTTATTTAGTTTACTTACATACCTTAGTTTTAACTGCACTTACGGCATCAAGTACTTTCTGCAGCTTTGGATTGCCCTGACCAACCTGGAGATTAAAAAAATAAATAAAATATGAGACAAAGATTGTAATTAATAACAGTAGCTGATGAGAGGTTAGATATTTTCTCTATGCTTTAGGAGAGGAAATTTTATGAGGTATATATATTTGTTGGACCTTATACTCTGTAAATTGTTCATAAATGTAACTACAGATAAAGTTGCAAAATAAAACTTGGCTTAAATTTAATTATAAGCAAGATGTTCAAAGTTATACAAGACAAAACTAGATATTTAGCAAAACTGTGATACAAAAAACAAACCCCTTACTTTTGGTCTGTTCTATTAGTTCTAATCAGTACAATCTTTGATATGCTATAAGTACTCAGTAAAGGTTAACTAGAATTGCTATAATTCCAAAAGTTACTTAGTTTACCCAATATACTCAATTTAATAATGACTTTCTTGTAGAATGTTTCAAGGATTTTTCTACAGAGCATTTGCCATTTAAAAAAACTCAATTGATTTTTTAATGGAAAATGCTCTTAATATTTCTGACCTGAGGAGATACTAAATCGATAAATTCCTGACTATATTAGGTAGGAAATTTAGAGAAAAAGAAATGTGAAAGAGCTGGAAAACAGGCATTCCTTTTCCCCTGTGAATACCTTCTTATTCCACTTTCATTTGAAATGTATTTCTCTCTTCAAGAGGGAAAACCAGAGAGAAAAACCAAGCAATAAATTATTAGAGAGCTATCTGTTCTTGTAATCATCAGTAGGATGGGCACCTTCCAAAAATAAATATTCAAATATCTTTTGCTTTATTTCATCCTATTTTAAGATCAGATGGGTAAGAAATGATGTAAATAGAGCTGTGCAACTATCTGCAACTCACCTTCATCAAAACAGCAATAATTGCCAAACCATCAGGCTTTGAGGCAGCTTCAGCAAAGCTGGAATACTTAGCAGAATTCCAGTGAACTATGTGAAGCTAAAAATGACAATATGGTTAATTAATTATTTATACCAGTGTAAAGACAAAAAGTAAGCTATACGTTTAAGTTAACTTGTTACTATATGAAGATATATCTTGGCTTCCATAGATAAAACTTATGTGAACCTTGGAAGGTTATATTGTCATTCTTAGGAAGAGTTATCTGTGTGCTGAGAAAAGTAGACTGCAAATCCTGGAACCTGTATGTAAAATTTCTTTTTCTACAATATGGTTCTCATTGCACTTTTCTCTGACCATGCCAGTTTAGATTCTTTCCCTACTCTTAATTGATTATTTTACTTCTTTATTCCCCTGATGCTTTGTGAATAGTCATATTGGAATTTGCTACTATATTTATTTAATTGCAATCATTTATACCCATACTGCCCTGCTTGAAGTGTGTTTGCTTGTGTTTCCTCCACAGAAATGTAAGCAGCATTACTGAGCACTTGCAATGTGAAAAGTGATGGTCTAAATGTGCTTTATATGGGTGTACTCACTTTATCTTCTCAACAACTGTATGAGATAGATATTAATACTATATTATCTAGACTCTATAGATAGGAAGATTGAGGCACAGGGTGATTTGCCCAAAATTGTATGGCCAACAATCCAGGGCTATGTACAAACCCTGGAAGTTAGCTGAGGAGCTCACATTCTTAACCACCAGTCTGTATTGCCTCTTACACCTAATGTGTCATAGGTATCCCAAGTAGGTTTATTGAATTGATTGGATCACTTCGAACTTTGTGGCTAAGTGTCTCTCATGCCTAGCCTGGATTATTTTTATTTTTTTCATTTTGGATGAGAGGATCATTGATTAAGATTTCTTGGCTAATATCAACTATCCTTCCAAAAAGTTAATACTAATTTAGACTCCTATCCCACCTGATTTTAGTCTACCTTTAATTTTATGAAGGATTAATGAGAAAAACCCATTTAATAGATTTCTGCAGCATTGGAAGGTATTAACCATGTTTCACAATATAACATAAAGCAAGTTATATTTGTATACAATCCACGAATTCTCTATTACAATAAAAGATGCACACACTTGGTAACCTTGCAATCCATCTTGTAAAAATCTACCCTATGTAATTGTTTTCACCGGCACAGATATGTGCACAGATGCATTCATGGAAACGGGGCCAGTTAAATAAATTCTGATGTATTCATCCAAATGAAATATTATACAGGCAGCAAAAGAATGAGTTAGAATTAAATATTCTAATTTGGAAAAATGATCATAATAAACTGGTAAGTGAGAAAAAGCAAGTTACAAAACTATATGTATATTAAATTTATTTTATGAAAATAAAATTTAAAGTTAACTTGTATACATGATATATATATTATATAATTCAAACATCTAAATTAAAGAACAAAATTTCTCTCATTTTAATCTCTTAGACCCTCTTATGACAGTTTGGTGCACACATGCCCAATTACACAGATATACAGACAATAATGCTTTGAGGTAGATCACAAACTTCCATGTTAGACAGGCCAAGAGGACACAGCCAGGGAACCTGCCTCCAGGGAACCTGAGACCCTCATCTGGGTGTATGTTGCTCTTTGTGAGTGTTGCCACGATTAAACTTGAGCTCTTAGTAGAGTATTATTGAAGTGTTTTATTTTGGCCACATCCATGCTACTGGTGTGTCCAAACTTGAACATTTAAATGGAGGAAAGGGTGTTGTGTTCCTTTTGAGGTCAGAGTTTTAAAGAAGAGTGGTGTTACCCCTTGAAGCTAGCATGATGTCAAGGTAGCAATCTTTGAGGCGTTCGCAGGGAAAGGTGAATCTTGGGTTCAGGAGTTCAGCTCAGAGTTCTACTGCCTCTTTCCACATGAACAATTTTCTTGTATTGCCAATCATGATGTGTCTGTATTTGGTTTTACTGGAATCTGAGAGTTCCTTACAAGGACCAGAATGCTCATTCCTTGGAGTCATTATGATTGTGTCTTATGAGGGAAAGGAGAGGTTTCTGAGACTACTCTCAGGGTAATTATCTCTCACTACATTACATTACCTCGCCAGAATATTTGACGCCATCCACTGTGTGCTCAGAACCATAGTCATTTGTGCTGCCCCAGTGAAAATGAAACTGACAGAGCCTGTAGACATCAGAGAGAGGGCCGCCTTTCAACACTGGAAGAAAAGGGAACTTACTGTTAGCCTTATGATCACAAGCTCCAGCTTATCTTTGCATTTAATATAAACCAATACTAAATTGTGTTGAGTAGAAATGAAAACAGACATTAGTGTCCAAGCATTCAGCTTGTGTTTTCCCTCCACATTCATGATGATGACACTCATACATATGGTGCAACCCTGACTGTGGCACTGATGACATAGGCCATAATTTATGTACAAGTCTGAGCACATGAGCCATAATTGTACTATTTCTAACTCTAAGAAAACATATTGCAAGATGAGTGAATTGCATGATTACAGAACTTTCCTTGAATCTCCTTCAATCTGCAAGTTTATTCACTCAACAAATACTTTATAGGCAATATGCATAAAAATCTTTCACAGTTTATTTTGAGTAACAAATTACTCATCACCTACTTGTAACTGATGAGGATGTATGTAATAGGGAATCTTGACAGTTTTGTTAAGAATTCCTGGCCACGGACCAAGAGAAACTGCCAGTGGGACTTTAGGGTCATTTAATAAATGTTAACATTGAAATGACTTTGTCATTTTGAGAGTCTATCTAATCATATGATTAATTAAATACATGTAATACCAGACCTAATCTCATATGAATAATGGACAGAACCCCACAGTGCCTAAAATTTAGACTCAGAACCTTGTAGGAAAGAGCTAAAACAATTTGACCTTTTAAGTGAGTAGAACTGTCTTATGGAATTGTTATTTAACAGATAATTCAACAAACAACGTTTATGAAAAGCTGACTAATGGTCAGGCTCAGTGACTCAGCCTGTAATTCCAGCCCTTTGGGAGGCTGAGGTGAGTGGATTGTCTCAGCTCGAGGGTTCGAGACCACCCCGGGCAACTTGGCAAGACCTCATCTATACAATAATAAAAAATTAGCTGGGTGCATTATCATGCGTCTATAGCTCCGGCTACTTGGAAGGCTGAGGTGGAAGGATTGCTGGAGCCCCGCAGGTCAATGCTGAGGTGGCCGTGAGCATGCCACTGCACTCCAGCCTGGGCGATGGAGTGAGACTCCAACTCAAAAAAAAAAAGAAAAAAAGAAAAGAAAATCTGACTAGCTAACAAGAAATGTATCAGATATATGAGGACAATTCGCTCACTTTCCCTTTTTTCTACTCTATTCTGCTTATCCACCCTCATGCCAATTAGAAAATATTTAATTTTTTAGTTTTTTATTCATAATAATAGGTTCACTAGACTTTTGGGGGAAAATACTGTTTATTTAGAGAGAGTGAAGTGAGGATAAACATACTAGAGTGGCCAGAAGGATAGGACTGAAGGAAGACAGAGCAGGGAGTCTCAAAAATCATCTTTATCACTAGGGTGTTTTTCAGAAGTCCAAGATGCCTCACCAGATTATGGCAATGTTAAACACAGGCACAAAAGACTTAGGATGGGTGCTGTGTTTCTCAAGCCTCATTTTTAAAATTTTCAGTAGATACTAGGAAAAAATATCAGAAGAGCTTTTTGTCTCACCTGATCGGTTATCATTGTCATCAAAAGTTACATGGAAGGAATGTCCCACGTTGACAATTTCTTTGGCAGTGGCTGGATTGTAGGAGACACTGATAGGTTTCAGGGAGGTGTCATGTTTGGTTTCACCAGTTTTAATGTCAATAGGAGACTGGTTATTGCCATCAGCAATTGGGTATGACTTGCTCCATTGTTCAGGACCTATCAGAACAAACATATGTATAAAATCAAAACCTTATCAGATGCTTTATTTCAAGTTTTAGAAATATAACTACCTGTTTACTTATTCAATTAAGGTTTATTTAGGTGTGGTAAATGAAATTCTGTTTAGAAATTCTGTGTTGGAGAATGCTCCTTTTCTACACTATTCTGTAAAACAGTTTATTTGTTAACATTAGTAATATCAGCATATACTCCTAGTCTACAAGATCAAACTGTAAATATTTTTCTGTTAGCAATAGATTTCTAATACAGGCATACCTCACTTTATTGTGTTTCAGAGATACTGTACTTTTTTTACAAATTGATGGTTTGTGGTAACCCTACATCACACAAGTCTATCAGGGACATTTTTCCAATAGCATGTGTTCACTTCATGTCTCTGTGTCATATTTTGGTAATTCTCACAATATTTTAAATTTTTTATTGCTATTATATCTGTTATGGTAATCTTTGATGTTACTATTGTAATTATTTTGGGATGCCACACACTATGCCTACATAAGAATACAAATTAGATCGATAAATGTGTGTGTTCTGACTGTTCCACTGACTGGTTATTCTCCCATCTCTCTTCCTCTCCTTGAGGCTCCCTATTCCTTGAGACACAATAATATTGAAATTAGGCCAATTAATCACCCTACAATGGCTTCTATGTGTTCAAGTGGAAGAAAGAGCTATACATCTCTCAATCTGAATGGAAGCTAGAAATGACCAAGCTTAGTGAGGAAAGCATGTTGAAAGGCAAGACTTGGCCTTTCGCACCAGTTAGTAAAGCTGTGAATGCAAAGAAAAAGTTCTTGACAGAAATTAAAAATGCTGTTCCAGCAAACAGATGAATGGTAAAAAAGTAAAGCAGCCTTGTTACTGGTGTGGAGAAAGTTTAGTGGTCGGGATAGAAGATCAAGTCAACCATTATTCCAATATTCCCATAAGCCAAAGTCTAATCCAGAGCAAGGTCCTAACTCTCTTCAGTTCTATGAAGGCTGAGAGGTGAGAAGGCTGCAGAAGAGAAGTTGGAAGCTAGAGATTGGTTCATGAGGTTTAAGGGGGAGAAGAGGATAGCTTCATAACCTAAAAGTGCAAAGTGAAGTAGCAAGTGCTTCTACAGATGCTGCAGCAAGTTATTCAGAAGATCTAGCTAAGATTGCTGATAAAGGTGACTACACTAAATCACAGATTTTCTTTTCTACTGGAAGAAGATGACAGCTAGGACTTTCATAGCTAGAGAGGAGAAATCAAAGCCTGACTTCAAAGATTTAAAGGACAGCCTGACTCTCTTGTGAGGGGATAATGTAGCCAGTGATTTTAAGTTGAAGCCAGTGCTCATTTACCATTCTGAAAACCTAGGAGCCTTATGAATGATGACAAATCTATACCTGTACTCTAGAAATGGAACAATAAAGCCTGGGTGGTAAGCACATCTGGACTTACAACATGGCTTACTGAATGTTTTAAGTAATTGTTATGACCTACTCCTAAAAGTAAAAGATTGCTTTCAAAATATTACTACTCAATGATAATGCACCTTGTCACCCAATAATTCTGATGGAGATGAACAAGGAGATGAATGTTGTTTTCACACCTGCCAATAAAACATCCAAATAATTTTTAATGAATTTGGGCAAAGCAAATTGAAATCCTTCTGGAAATGATTCACCATTCTAGATGCTATTAAAAACTTTTGTAATACATGGGGGAGGTCAAAATATCAACATTAACAGGAGTTCGATAGAAGTTGATTCCAACTCTCATGGATGACTTTGAAGGGTTCAAGACTTTAGTGGAGGAAATAACTGCAGATGTGATGGAAATAATAAGAGAACAAGAATTAGAAGTGGAGCCTAAAGATGTGACTGAATTGCTGCAATCTCATGATAAAACTGTCATGGATGAGAAGTTGCTTCTTAAACATAAGTGAAAAAAAGTGATTTCTTAAGAAGGAAACTCCTATGTTCTGTGAACACTGTTGAAATGACAACAGGATTTAAAATACTACATAAACTTAGTTGCTAAATCATTCATAAGATTTGAGAGGATTGATTCCAATTTTGAAAGTTCAACTTTGGGTAACATGCTGTCAAACAGTATCAGGGAAATCTCCTCTTGAGTCAATTAATGCAGCAAACTTCATTGTTATCTTATTTTAAGAAATTGCCCCAGTGATCCCAGCTTTCAGTAACCACCACTCTCATAAGTTAGCCACCATCAACATCGAGGCAAAACCCTCTACCATTGAAAATATTGTGACTCACTGAAGGCTCAGATGATTGTTAGTGATTTTTAGCAATCAAATATTTTAAAATTAAGGTTTGTGCATTTTTTTAGACTTAATGCTATTGCACACTTAACTTTTATATGCACTGGGGAAATCCCCAAATTTGTGTGACTTACTTTATTGTGGTGATCTGGCACAGAACCCTCAATATTTCTGAGTCTGACTGTATGTGTCTATATGTGTATACATATACGCACTATATATATATTAGACAACCATGCCCCAAAGGATAACTGTTAAGAATATATGCAAGGCCAGAAGCAGTGGCTTAAGCCTATAATCCCAGGACTTTGAGAGGTCGAGACGAGAGGATTGCCTAAGCCCAGGGGTTCAAGAATAGGTTGGGCAACTTGGCGAGACTCTACAATAAACCAAAAAATTAGTCGACTATGGTAGCGCATGGCTGTAGTTCCAGTTGCTTGGAAGGCTGAGGCAGAAGGATAGTTTGAACCCAGCTGACCGGAGGCTGCGGTGGCCATGAGCATGCCACTGCACTCCATTCTGGGCGACAGAGTGAGACTCCAATTCAAGAAAAAAAAATACATGCAAAAGATATTATAATTAGTTAAAGCAGACAATTCAAACAATTAACCAATTGCTATACAGATATTTTATTTTATTTTATTTTTGAGTTGGAGTCTCACTCTGTCGCCCAGACTGGAGTGCAGTGACCGCTCTCGGCCACTGCCGCCTCAGCCTTCCAAGTAGCTGGAAGTACAGGCACGCGCTACCACGCTAGGCTGATTTTTGATTTATTGTAGAGATGAGGTCTCACCAAGAGATGAGGTTGCCCAGGTAAGTCTCGAACCCGCGGGTCAGGCAATTCACTCACCTCGGCCTCCCAAAGCGCGGGATTACAGACTAAGCCACCGAGCCCGGCAAGATATTTTAAATGCTTAGTACCTCTTCTATTGGAAAATAAGCTATTATTCTGATCTGTAAGAACAGAAGAATTCTTACCGTTTTTGCCATCATATCCCCAGTCTGAACTTGCCATGATCTTCTACTTTGTTTTCTTTTTCTGAGAACAAAAATAATACCTGGAATAACTAACTGCAACTGTCCATGCAGTAGATACCTTGAACTACAACTTAGGTGTTTTTATAGAAACTTCTCTGCCCTTAATAGGCCACTATTACATCATCTCTGCTTATCAGGAAGTATACATATCTAAAAAAAAGTGTTGTAAAAAAAAGTCTATAAGGGTTATATCAGTTCCAATTGTTTTATTTTCTTATATTGTAAAAGAGAATTATCAAATCCTAGTCCTGTTTCACTAAAGTGAGTAGGCAATATGGCTTAAAATTATTATATATATTTCTTTAGATTTCATAAATGAAAAATACTTTGTGCATTTAAGATTTCCAGTTCTTCTCTTCCTAGATATTCAAGCAATACTAACAACAATAATAAGGAGAATAATTTGCATGCTTACAGGTTGATTAGAACTTTTATCATGAAGTTAATTAAAGTCAGATAATGAAATACTAATCATTTATGTATATACATATATAATATAACTCACAATGGTACACTTTATGAACACATAGGGAAATAATAAAGTCCTTTACTTTGGAGTAATATTAGAATTCATAAATGGAGAAATTTTATTAATAGTAAAGTTAAATATGACCCAATATTTATTTTACATATCAAATAGGCTTACTAGAATAAAAATCTTCTTTTGGCCTAGGCAATATAGCAAGAACCCATCTCTGCAAAAAAAAAATGTTTTTAAATATTAGCTGGATATGATGGTGCATACCTGCACAGCTACTTGAAAAGCTGAGATAGCAGGATCACTTGTGCCCAGGGAGTTTGAGGCTTCAGTGAATCATGATCATGTCACTACATTTTAGGTTAGGCAACAGAGCAAGACTATGTCTCAAAAACAAAATAAAACCTTCTTTGTTATAGTTCTATACAATTTATCAAACCCATTTCTATTATTGCATCACACACACACAAACACACACACACACACACACACACACACACACACACACACACACACACACACACACACGTCCTCTATAGCAAGAGTCAGCATTTTGTAGTTGAGAGATATTGAGGGAGTTCACTAAAATTAGCAAGAAGCCAAGACCTCAGTCTGTAAATCCAGTAGTTCTTCACATACTTCCACAAAATGCCACACTGAGCTATGAGGTAAATAATCCCATAATTTTTCTTCTATGCCCACAATTCTCTTGGTCTGATTGAAGCCTGGACTAAGATAGAACTCACACCCAATGAGTGATGAGACGGTCAGCAGGACTTTTCAGGGAGACAAGACAACTGATTAGGATCTGTAAGACTCTGGCTGGGCCCAAATTTTCAAGACTCTAAATGTGCTCAAAGAAAATACAAGTAGCAAATCAAGCTTCTATGATCATGTTTTTTTATCCCAGGATAGTCATACTTTCTTTTGCACTCTAGAATTGTCTGAGCTCCCTGCAACCCCTGAACAAAGAGGAAGATCAGGAGCAATCTTTAGCAAGGCTGACTAGAGACACATTGTTTGTTCCTTTGTAGCTAATGACAGTGTGTTGCCTCTTATGTAGAGTGGTCTATTGTCACCAACATCCATGGAGTGGGAAGGGGTCCTGGATCCCATTCTATGGCTTTAGTAAACATTAGGAGATTTTCATTAAAAAGAACTCTTTTTTTAAAGGTACTGTTTATTGAGGGTCCAGTATATATCAAATGCTGTGCTAAAAACTGTATATGCATTAATTAATTTTATCACAAAACATATGAAATTTTTCATTAAAAATCTTTGTTTTGCATAAAGAGAAATTGAAGTTTACAAAGATGAAGACAACTCTTCGGGGTTCCAAAGCTTGCAAGTGGCTTCTTACATCCCATAAGACTAGGTTAAACCTAGATCTGTCTAAATCCAAAGCTTATACTCTTTCTCAACCTTCCACTGTCAGTAAATGCCTACTGACCTCAGTTGATCTTATTTTCTCAAGGAGTGGATTAGTTGATATGGCCTGGTCTGGCTCAAGATGACCAACAGTCAAACTTAATCCTTGGGCTTACTTTATTCCAAAAACTCATGGAGTGACAGTAGCAGGCTACCCTTTGTTGGATAATGGCTTCCTAATATTGGATACATAATAAAAAGTAACTTTAAGTTGATCTACTCTATCAGTCAACATATTTGAAAAATGACCCCCCTTCCATTACATGATGGTTCATCACACTGATGTTTTCATATTCGTATAGAATGGTAATTCATTTAAAATTTTAGGTGCAGCCGGGCTCGGTGGCTCAGCTTGTAATCCCGCGCTTTTGGGAGGCTGAGGTGAGTGGATTGCCTGAGCCGGCGGGTTCGAGACCCTCCTGGGCAACTTGGCGAGATCTCATCTCTACAATAAATCAAAAATTAGCCGGGCGTGGTAGCGTGGGCCTGTAGTTCCAGCTACTTGGAAGGCTGATGCGGAAGGATCGTTGGAGCCCAGCAGGTTGAGGCTGTGGTGACCGGGAGCGGCCACTGCACTCCAGTCTGGGTGACAGAGTGAGACTCTAACTCAAAAAAAAAAAAAAAAAAAATTTAGGTGCAAAATTACTTTGAACCCTATTATGACTTTTTATTTTATTATGTACCCAGGGTGTGCTTGTATACTCCCACAAGCAGAAAATTATATAGAGAAAGGATGTAAAATTTAATGAGCACTTATAGTGTAAGTCCTAACATCCCTCCCATTCACCTTTATACTTTTTCTGCTTAGAAACTTTACTTCTCTGAGCTTAAAATCTATGCCAAATCCAAGATTGTTAATTTTGTAGTCACTTCATTTTCACCTATTGCCTCCTCCCAGTATACTTTTCCAAGAAGATAATCTTTGAACTGCTTTTCATACCAAGGAAAAGTTCAATCTACACAACTTCTGTTCTTCTAAACTAGCAATTTATTTTTTAAGGCCATCTACTATGTCAGCACATGTTGAAGAAGACTTTTTGGTTCTTCTGATAGGTTATTCAGACTAAATCCACGTGTACCTGAAACTGAATTATGAGCATTATGTATGAAAAATCTACATTTTAAGAAAGGTGATGCAAAACTTCATAAATAATTTTGATAGAGGCCAGGGGTGGTGGTTCATACTTGTAATCTCAGCACTTTGGAAGGCCGAGGCAGGAAGACTGCTTGAGCCCAGGAGTTTAAGACCAGCCTGGGCAACACGGCAAGACCTCATCTCTACAAAAAATTAGCCGGGTGTGATGTTGCGTACACATAATCCCAGCTACTTGGGATACTGAAGTGGATGGATCACTTGAGCTCAGAAGGTTGAGGCTATGGTGAGCCATGATTGGACCACTGCTCCAGCCTGGTCAACAGAGTAAGACCCCAACACAAAAATAATAATTATTATTATTTTTATCTGATAAATAATTGCTTAATTATTAATATTAAGAAGTATCAGGAGTGCTATAAAGCGTACTATGATTATTATGGAACATGATTTCACACTGTATTCACGCTAGGGTATATTAGTGTCAGTTAGAAAAGGCTACAGTTAACTGAATTATTTCTTTCTGTTACATTCTTTAAAATATTGATCTAATTCAAGTCTCACAGCAGACGTAGGGGTTAGGTTAGGTTTTTTGTTTTTGTTTTTTTTTTTTTTTTAGTTCCTTAGATAAATATTTTCTTCTGATTCTTATTTTAATATTTTAAAATTAAAAGCATGAACTCTCTTGGAAGCAAAGAAATGGTGGTGAATTTCAAATTCAAATTTGTTTAAAAATAATTTTTTGTTACAGAAGGAACAAAAAGTACGAAAGAGTGCCATCCATGCCTAGCTATGGAAGAGATCTGCTAAATGCCACTGAAAAGAAAAATATACACCTCAGTAGGACTGAATTCCAAAGACCATAGCTTTTCTACAATGCTTAGAGTTCTACAACAATAAGTGGCTTTCTTGGAATCTACTTTTTCCCTAAAATTGGGAAATGTACAGTGTGAAAATAAAGTGTCATTTTTGACTATTAAATTTGACATGATTCTCGTATTGTTCCCTGAATTCCCTGCTTCCTGAAATGGTATTGCTTGGGATAGCAAAATAAATCTTTCTAGTGGAGAAGAAGGTCATGAAAATGGTGGCATTAGCCTGGACATTTCTGCATTATGACAACTGATTAATGAAGTTGAGGTATTCTGATTAATGAAGTTAAGAAGTATGATGGTTTATCTGAGTTTCACACTATCATTTCCTCTGAATCTGTCCTATCACTTGCAACAAAGCAATGTTGGCAACTTTACTCTTTCCAGTAAATATATTTGTCTCCATCTATACCAAGCTTGTTCCCATGTTAGTGTCTGCTGTCCTATTGGTCGGATTACTGTGTACTCAGATCTTTGCACAGGCTCAACTATCACCTCCTCAGATGTAACTTTCCTGAGCCCCAAATCCACATCTTTCCCCTCTTCCTGGTCACTCTATTAATCATTCTTGCTCTTCTTATTACATTTGTTGCATCCCGAAATTATTTTGCTTGCTTTCTGAGATTAATGCATTTGATTACTTCCTTAAAGTGTATAGCCATCTCTGAAACAGTACCTCTGTAATATGATAGAACCTTGATTACTTTTTCATCGTGTTCTTTTCACCTGTAATACACCTGAAAAATAGCAGTGCTCAATAACTACTTTTAGAGAGAATGCTTAAATGATCATTTTTAAGTTCAACTACAGTATTTTTATACTTAGAAGGGCAGAATGTTCAGCAGGGACTATACTTACCCAAATGCACTCATCTGAACCCATGGTTGTGTGACACAAGGATGTTTGAGCATGTGAATGAGCTCTGCTAGAGGTAAACTCATGTTCATTTTTGGACTACGGAAAAAAAGTCTTTCCCCTCCCAGTTCTATTAATGGGAAGAATGAAGCGACCCATCTGTGTCTGTCAGTCATTGCTGGAAGAGTAAGAACACTGGTCTTTATAAGTGTCAAATTTTTTGACACTTCATAAGTGTCAAAATTTAACTTTTTGAATATGATTTGAACTTTTGATATGTAAGTTTCAAAAGTCCATATCTTATGGTTTTTGTTACTGTAATTAAAGAAAATTTTCAACTTTATATTTTCTGTCTTGGAAATTTTTACTTTTTAAGGCAATTTTAAAATCTGCTAGTGAGTATTTTTTATTAATCACTAGGTTCAACTCTCTATATATAATCATTTT